CCCTTATTTTGGGAAAGTACCAGATCTGCTTGGGGAACAATGCGCAAGTCGGCGCAGGATGTCAGGAAGACCTTCGAGTGGCACACAAAGTAACAAATGGGTGGGCCTGCAAATCAAGCCACGAATGCACCCAGGCTCGTAGCCTTACTCCCGTTGTTGAATCACAGCCTGCAGCCCAAGTATGAAACTCCGCCCCTCCAGGCCTAACTCGTGCACAGGAAAGCCCAAAAAGGCAAACACTGAGCCTCAGCAAGCCCTCTGGAAATCCAGGCCTTGTCCGGGTCTTCCGGGCCTGCGCATGCGAGTGATATTGAGGTCAGAAGTCATAGTCACGGGAATTACCTGGCCAGGGTTCGTTCATTTGAGAAGTTTACGTGCTTGAAAAGTCTTGAAGTTTAGAAGGCTTTTCAAGACCTCAAGACCGAAATAACCTGAGGCACGAATCCAATCGGGAAATTGCTATGGGCCAGCCGTCCTTTACAGTGTGTTCCATTCAGCTTCGAGTGAGCACACCGAAAGCTGTGCATTCAGCGGTTCCAAACCTGGATCCTGGAAGCGATACTCTCTGTTTCGTCATGAAGGAAGCCGAGTTCCAGAGACTTCGGCCACCACTGGACCGATTCTCTGCATGTTGTAGGGTCGGGGGCTTGTGATCAGGTCTGCTGTCACCTGCCCTGAAACTTACGGGGTGAGAGCTCTTCAAATTCAGACCCATCAAAGGCAGTCCAAGAAAAGGATGTGAGAGCCTGCATGACGCACTGCTGTCAAGGCCTATAATGTCCCTGGAAATGTTCCAGAAATTATGCCCTATAAAACCATATAATACAATAGTGCCCATTTCATTTTCCATTACCCCAATATAACCCCAATCTAACCCCAATATAAGCCAGAAGCACAGGGACCCCTTAGTACGAAGACAGGATGTCAGAAGAACACTTCTTGCTGTTGTCTAATCGGTTATGCTGAGCAATCACCCAAGCCAATTCAAGCAGAGTTGGAAAGCCCGATAGCAACAATGCCCAAGCTGTTTTTGGAAGCAGGGTTTAGGCCAAAAGCTTCACTTAAGTAGATACAATATGGCTTTAGGTATATTATAATAATGACCCCATATTCTGTCTACTTAAGGGGGACTATAAGGGTTCAAGGGGTTACAGTAATTAGGCAACATCACGAATCATTTCAGGAAGGACATGCATAATGATGGGAACAGGCAGAGTGAGAGCCACAAGCGCTGGCATGATACTCACAGTAGTGAAAGCGAACAATAACCACAACCACCCATGTGAGTCTAAGGTTCCAAGCATTGGCAAGCCCTGCCCGATACAGACCCTAGACCCTAAACCCCTAACCCCAGGAACAAGCTGAGAGCCCATAGCACGGGCCCCCTCGCTTCAAGTTTAGCACCATGCTTCGGCAGAAGCATGGCGCAAAAGCAGACACTACCCACAATAATCGAACGAAAGCGCAGATGTTTTAAAGAAAAGCTGAACCCTGAAACCCTACCTCCTGAAACCTGAGCCCTGAAATGACACCTATATACTCCACATATATATATATCCTATTATTAGAGTATAATATTTTCAATTTTACTTTCCATTATACCCAGGGTTCCCGGCTTCGCAGCTTCTTGGGAAGCTGATCTGGCGAATCGGTCTCGATGAGGAGCCGGTCCTGCAAAGTAAGCGCAGCTGGAATCTCCTTCCACCTTCATAATAAACATGAACTGTTGAACACTTCCTTGAGGCTTTGCTACAGTGAAAATCAAAAACAGTTTCTATGGGGTTAGGAGGAATGGCAGTACCAATGGCATACTGGGAGGCATGTTGACAGGATTCCGCTTGTATAATCACCTTCTGAAGAGCTCGTGAACTCTGCAAAGGCATACGAGCCCACAACTTTTTGGGGTCATGTTCCTTTGTGTCTACAAGGTACTAGTAACTAGTCACTGCGTGTCAACTAGAATCGGATAGTAGTGGGTTCTGGCAGTGCTCTCACGCACTCCTACAATGCTACACATGCCGCGAGGATGGTTTGCAAGCCGGTCTCTCTCCCTGTAGGATATGCGCAAACACAAGTATATACTCGGGTGCATGTATGTATGAATGTCTGTATGTATGCACCGCAAGCACGGACGGACGGACGGCGCAGGTATGTATGTATGTATGTATGTACGTACGTACGTACGTACGTACGTACGTATGTATGTATGTATGTATGTAATGCATGGCCGCGGCGCTGAATGTACTTTGGAGTCTTGAGTAGTTTTGGGCGTCCCGTCCTCTTTGAGGTCACATAGAAGGGTGGGGGCTGGAGCTGGAGGTACGGAATCGTGCTTCGGCCCATCATTCACGGTTGAATATGCATGCTACTTTGCACCGGAAGCATCACCCGCCATTCAGAACACTTTATTGGCTGACCTACAAGGCACGCCACCGAGATCCTGAACGGCAAAGCCCCTGGCCCCGTCTCATGATACACAAAAAACCTTATGGAGTTTGGGGGTAACCTGGTCTGGGTTAGGGTGCAAGAGGTTTGGGATTGATTTGGGTCGTCCTCCGGCACAGCACGCAGTGCACCTGCATGCTTGCCGATATGTAAGATCGACCTTGGGCTTGGGTCCCGGTTCTAAAGGATGGAGGTCACTGCGAAAAAGCAATTGGAAATGCTTCTCTGGGACACATAGACTACGACGACCTGAGGAGAGAAGTCATGACGGTTGTGAGGGGATTCTGCGAGGGATTCCTCAGGGTCGTATACTTGGCCCTATGACGTCCTCATCCCATGCAAGAGCCTTAAGCATTGAGAGTCTCAGGGATAGATGGCGAAGGGCTCAGACAGTTGAGGACCTTAGCACTGCGGCTTAAGGTTCTCAGGCTAAGGGCGTCCTTGAGTTGGAGTTTATTGTTTTGGGCTGAAGTTTTCCTTAGCTCGCAAACGTATTTGAAATTCTTCCCGTAACTCTGACTCCACACCACCCACCTGCCTCCAAGGCATAACCAGTGGAGGGATCGGAATGGCATGCGCGAATTTATGCTATAGGGGTTATATTGGAGTTATATAGGGATAATGGAGAAGAAAATGGAAACTACTACAATGGGGTTATATAGGGTTTAGGGTTATATGCAACACAGTGGCAAAAGAAGGGCCTGAATAGAAGGGGTGGCCTTGAAGGAATCTGCGACACATGTACCAGAGGTTATACAGGCATTTGGCTAAACCCTAAACCGAAATACGATAGAGAATGGAGGAACGCATCCCTAAAGTATCCCCTATATCATCCCCAGCAACATGATAAATAACGTTCATGCCTTCACTCTCCAATACTCAATACAACCAATGAGTTAGCCTTTCACACCAAACCCTATATGACCGCATAGGCCCTAGGTTTCACTTCATCTGCCATTTGCTGTAGCATTGATTTTCCATCTACAGACCTTCGACCCTAAACCCTGTATATGCCCTAGAACCCCTGCATACCCCTCCATAATCCCTGAGCCCCAGGCCCCTAGCAAGTACTGGGTGTCGGGCGCAGAGAATGAAAAGAAGCAGTTCAGTTTCGCAAAAGCAGGCACCTGTTGGAAGCAGTGGAAGGCAGGGCTTAGGGTGTAGGACGGCTGAGGGTCTAAGGGGGCATGGGACGTTAGGTTCTAGGGTTCAGGGGTTGGGTTTGAGGGTTTCAGATGTTGGGCTTTCGGATTTGTATGAGGGGTTTGGGATGAGCTCGGGATACGTCTGATACTACTGCAATAGAATACTTGGAGGGTCAGGGGGACTCTGTACCCTGCCAATTTAAATCCGGAACTTCTGCAAACCTGAAAGAGACAATCAACCCTTGGGCCTGAACTGTACATCCCAAAGCTGCAACCCTAGTAATCTCTGAGCCCTGAACCCTGAACCCTAAAACCTAAATAGCAGTTTCCATTCTATTTCCCATTATCCCAATACAACCCCTATATAACCCCTATATAACCCCATATTACCCTAAATAGTAATTTACATTCTATTTTCCATTATCCCAATATGACCCCAACATAATCCCACTATGACCCCAAAGGGAATCGTTCACTTTTACACCGACACCCGCCACCAGAGCCATAGTCTAAACTCCTAGCATCCTCCTTAATAACTCCTACTCTACTTCCCTAAATAGTCTCCCATATAAACCACCTTGGAAGTTTAGACGATAAACTATAAACCCCAAGTCCTAAATAGTTGTTTCCATTTTCTTTCCCATTCTCCCTATAGAACCACTATATAGTCTCCTATATAAACCACCTTAAGAAGTTTAGACTACAAAACCCCTGAACCCTAAACCCTAAACCCTAACCTTAGGAAGTTTAGGCTATAGCTCACGAAACGCTGCTACGGCACCATCTCGGGGCTGCCGCAGTAGGAGTGCAACCTCGGGACCGGGGCTCCGGATTTCTAACGCCGGAGTGGATTACTATTACTATCACTATTTACTATTACTATTACTATTACTATTACTATTACTACAGCTTAGGGTTCTAGGGTTTAGGGTTTAGGGATTACTATTACTATTACCATTACTATTATATATTACTCCTATTATTACTATTATAGGAGTGGGTTACTATTCTTATTACTATTACCACTAATAGTATTATTACTCCTATTCTTACTATTATGAGTACTATTATCACTGTTGTTAGTATAGTGCTTAGGGTTTAGCATGTAGGCCGTCCACCCGTTCAGCAGGATACCCGTAGAAAATGTGCAGCAATTCCTTCGACAAGGGGGATCAGCGTGGAACTTACGTATTACGTTGCGATTGCATCATTTAGCAGAAACCGCACCTGTCTAATGTGGCGGTCTCAACCTGTCTGCGGCTTCGGGGCCATAATGCACTTCCCAATGCACACGCATGCGGGGCCGTCATGTTGCCAGTCTGGCCTGTATGACTAAGGAATGACCCTGTACGAAAAAGCGTCTATTGAAAGACAACTGCAAGTGAGGGCGGAGACTTGTGAGCTGTTGAGAACGAACCTAGTTGTATTCAATTACCTGTTTATGCCAGGCGCGGCCATGAACCGGAATTGAAATCCTGAGCGGGAGCAGAAACCTTTTGACTTTCGCATGCATTCTTCAATATGTTGACAGCTCTGGCGCGTCAGCGGGTGACATGGTGCATAGCTGGGAAAGTCCGAAAAGTGGCGCAGTGCTTACTTGACAATCCTAAAGATTGACCCCGTGTAATACACCTGTAACCCCCTCGGGAACCACAGACGGGAACCCGCCCGCAGAACGAGCCAGTGCTTCTCCACAAATCGTGTGCTGTGCATCGGCAAAACCTTGCACTTTCAAACACTCCGCTGGCCAGGCGCGTCCGCGAACCGTTACTCATTGATCCTGGTGATGCTGAGGGTTTAAGGTTTAGGGTTTAGGGTTTAGGGACTACTATAGTAGCTTGGGCTTGTATAGGGATGACGGAAAATGGAAACTACTATAGTATATTGGAGCAGTCTCCACTTTGATGGCTACAGTAAGGTTGTCAATCCTAAGGGAGGCAAGAAACATGCATCCCCGTCCGTTTCGGACCCTGCCAACGACATGCAAAGGCTAGAGGCCCCTTTAAGTAGATCGAATCTGGGGTCTATGGGGATCTTATTATAGTATACCCAAAGCCATATTCTATCTACTTGAGGGAGACTCATAATAATTTCAGTTGGTACATGGCATAGCACTGCAATTTAACATCCTTAACAGCAACCCAGACTTTGATCATTCCCTAGCATGCCTGACTTCGGCAGAAGCTCATTTCACACAACTTCCATGTAGGAGCTTCCTTGAATCGTGGTAGTACAGGGATCCCTAGTGCAAGGGCAACTCCAAAACCAGGCTGCCTTCTAATACTCCAACAGGGGGCGTCACTAGAAGATCCGAAAATTTGAGCCTACAAACTTCACCCCTGAATCCCTATCCCCCACGCACGTCCCTCCTGATGTAGTCAATATGAGCTAATTACAGTCTAAACGCCAAGTATCCCCCTTAATGACCCCTATAGTACTCCCTTATATAATCCCCCATATAACCCCGTAAAAGAGTTTAGACTCTTGCCCATATTATGCTCAGCCGAGAATTCAGGAATTCCTCACAATCCCCATATCTCCATGTGATCCCTAGATACAAGTGACACACATGGGGTTTCCCTTTGGGGGGCCTACAAGAATGAGGATTACAATGTATTGGGGTCCATCTTGGGGTCCCCCTATTTAGGGAAACTACCATATAGGCGAAATCCAACGCAATGCCTCTTAGATTTTGGAACGCAAGGCTTTGAATCGTTCACCAAAGAGAGCAGCGCTTCAACTTGCTTTCCGCGCCCATGAGATGGCTCTGGTAGAGGGCTCTCTAGCTAAGGGTTTTGGGTTCAGGGGGGGTTTAGGGGGGCTTAGGGGTTCAGGGGCTTGGGATTGTTTTGGGGTTTACGGCTTGGGCCTTAGGTTTAGGGCTGGCCTGTAAGGCTCAGGGTTCATGGGCTTGGGCTTTCAGGCCGGGGATTGATGGTGCGGGGCTTGGGGCTTCGAGGGCCTGGTATAGCGGGCTTTCAAGTGGAGCCTGAGGCTTAGGCTTCAGGCAGGGTGAAGGATTATCCTTGGGGTCGTATTCAGAGCTACATTGGGGGGACAATCTCTGTGAGTGATTGCCAGGATTTGTTGGACTTCTGTGTGGTAGCAAATGCTGAAGTAACAAGTTAAGATGTACATGGCTGCTCAATGTGTTGGGAGGGGGCTGCTTCCGGAGTTGGGTTCTAAATGTATTGAGTTAAAATGCCCGAAGCCCCAAGCTGTTTGACTCTTGGAGCAAGGACGCGCAAGTCAGAAAGGGCTGGCAAGAGCCAGAGGGAAAGCTCTGTAAGACTGGTCCTCAGCAGGAACATACACAGCCTGGAACCTGCAAATTCATGTTAGCTGGGCACGAAAACCGCTGAAGCCGCTGGGTCGTCTCAAAACATGCTGCCAATGCGAAGCGAAGATCTCCAAACTCCAAACATACCACTCTGTATCTGCTTAGCTTCTTGAAGGAGGAGTTGATGCATTGCGCTCGACTACACGAGACCTCGGCCACATGTTAGGTGGACCCCCCACCCTGTAATAGTGACGATGGGGGATAGTAGTAACTATAGGGTCCTCTTATATTCTTAATATACCACTATTACAGGGTGGTGGGTCCTCCTAAGCCATATGGCTGTTTTGGAAGAGAATGGTTCTGGCCAAACACATGCGAACACAAATAATGGATTTCCACTACGCATATGCAAGGTGTACGTGTCTTGCAAGGGTTATATAGGGATACCAATATCTCAGCACCAAAAAAAGCAGTACTGCATTAGGCAGTAGAGGGAACACACAACAGATTAACGTCAATAACGTTAGGAGTTTAGACTATAGCTCCGTATAACCTTATTATGCTGTAGTCGCTTCCATTTTGTTTTCCATTTCCCCTTTATGACCCCTTTATATCCCCAAATGTATGTGTATATATATATATATATATTCATATATATATGCACCATATGTATACATATATATGTATGTATACCCCAATATACTATAGTAATGTTCATCTTATTTTCCACTATCCCAAAATAGCCCAGTATAACCCCTGACAAAACCATATAACCCATTATAATGGTTTTCATCTTATTGTCCGTTATCCCTAAACATCGTCCCCCTTAAGTAGATAGAATATGGGGTATATAGGGATCTTATTATACTATTACCCAAAGCCATATTCTACCTACTCAAGTGGGACTATGACCCCAATATACTCAAGAAGCAACCACGCCGGAAGGCCTTAGGCTGGGTCAGGAAGAGTTGCAGCAAGTCTCCGGAAGCTCTAAATGACGGTTCTCCCGAGCATATGGGGGTTGCCCAAAATTAGGGATACCTGTTTTGGGGGGTCCCTATAATGAGGACTATAGTATTTGGGGGTCTATATTGAGGTCCCGAAACTACCATATCAAGTAAATTATGCTTGCTGCACAAGTACATTTCAATGTCAAACCCCGGTGCTCAAACGCTTCACGGCTCTGGCAGCATGATTTCGGTCGACAAGCCGTCAAAGAATTTTGCGTGTGCCCCCATCCTCACAGTCACGAAGAACCTCGAAAACCTACTGGGTACAACGGAATCTAGATCTAGGCGTCAATTCAGAGTGGCAAGCATAGACGACGCTAAGGCATAACTTGCCTGCAACTTGAATGTTTTCCTATCTAGCAAGGCTTAGGTTGCTTTAGGAGGGGAAGCCTAAGAGCTTTGCATTTGGGGTTTGGAAATCACAGGTTTAGGGTTCAGGGTATTGGCTATCGGGGGCTAAGACGTGATTTGAGTACAAGGTTGCGGCCGTTACGCCAGGGCCAGGTAATTCAGCGGCGTGTATACGATAGAAAGGCGTCTGGGATTAGGATTGGACAGGCAAACCTTCAATACACGGAATTGGTAGCAGCAGCGCACTACCACCACCACCACCGCCGCCGCCGCCACCACCACCACCACCACCCCTTCCGCCGTAGCCGCCGCTGCCGCCACCACCACCACTAGCAGTCCTGCTGTGCTAATACTGCTCCTATTGCTGCTACTGCTACCTCTACTGCTGCCTCTACAGCCACCGCCGCTGCTGCTACTGCTACTGCTACTGCTCCTCTTCTTCTTGTACTACTCCACGCTACTACTATGATCACGACTCATCACTACAATCGTCATCATAATCTATCCTCCCCGGTATAACTGTGGCAAGGTCCTCGTGACTCTTTTGCAAGGAGTGGGAATGTGTTAAACTCTCGTGCGCGCAGCGGGCCCTGAACAGCACTCACTAAGAAACTAGTGTACGCTCGGGCAGGATGGTGCTGTAACAACTGGTAAACAGCTCGAATGACTCATGTTCTTCTAAGAACAATGAGCAACACTAGCCTGTAGCCTCTTACACTTCATGCCATGCTCGGCATCCCACATGCTTATCTTCGCACGAAACTTCAAAAATGGGTCGCAATGACCAGACTCCTCATCTCTACATCCCTAAACCCACTCTAGAACCCTCCTGCCCTCCGGTACAATCTCTCCGATACCCCCTAAATGCTTTATGTCAAGATGTCACACATCTTACTGAACAAAATGCACATGTACTGTCCCGGGTCTGAGCCGCACCGCACTCTTACAAAGTCAGGTTAGAAAAGGTGCGTTGCTGCATTGAGCAAGGGGCGCGAGCCAAGATGGCTACTTCTGGATTTAGGTTGCTGGCTTCTGAGTTTAGGCATCTGGCCCTTGAGCGTGATTGCAGGCCTACAGCAGGTAGGCAGTGATTCTGAACAGTAGATGCTTTAGGGGCTTTCGGCACTTCATCAAAACACGGGATCCTTCTGCAAGCCTTTCCTCCCTCTTG